TCTCTCTCTCTCTCTCTCTCTCTCTCTCTCTCTCTCTCTCTCTCTCTCTCTCTCTCTCTCTCTCTGCGTCTCTGTCCCCCTCTTATCTATATCTCGTTTTTATCCCTACGGCGCCCCCCCTTTTCAGGCTCGGGAAGTGTGTTCCAGCGCGAGACTCTCAGCCCTTCTCGGAGCTCAGCCCTTCCGCTATTTGTACACAACCAATCAGATTCGCTCATACCTGCCTGTCTGAGGGATCGGTAGTCTTACTTGGGGGAAAACCAAATTCTGGCCTTCTGACTCCCCCCCCTCCTTCTGCGCTCATGTGAGTTGCTTGCATAGCACATCTGAGTTGCTTGCATAGGGGATCTTTGGAAACGGTAGTTCCCAACAGCAGCGGGAACACTCAATACGCTCTCCCGTCTGATCCGTGATACTGGCCCCTCCCGTCAACAGCGGGATAACTTGCGCTCCTTGCCCAGTAGATCTTTGAAACTGGTAGTTCCCAGCAGCAGCAGGAACACTCAATGCGCTCTCTCGTCTGATCAGTGATACTGGCCCCTCCCGTCAACAGGGGGAACACTTGGGTTGCTTGCTTAGCAAATCTTTGAAACTGRTAGTTCCCAGCAGCAGCGGGAACACTCAATGCGCTCTCTCGTCTGATCAGTGATACTGGCCCCTCCCGTCAACAGGGGGAACACTTGGGTTGCTTGCTTAGCAGATCTTTGAAACTGGTAGTTCGCAGCAATAGCGGGAACACTCAATGCGCTCTCTCGCCTGATCAGTGATACTGGCCCCTCCCGTCAACAGGCGGATAACTTGGGTTGCTTGCTTAGCAGATCTTTGAAACTGGTAGTTCCCAGCAGCAGCGGGAACAGTCAATACGCTCTCTCGTCTGATCAGCGATACTGGCCCCTCCCGTCAACAGGGGGATAACTTGGGTTGCTTGCTTAGCAGATCTACCATAGCGTCGCTGTGGGCTATGAACGCCAGGCGCATATTGTAGCAGAGCCGCGCGCTGCCCACCCCACGCACACTGGTCCTCCCTCCCCGTTCTGCTTGGCGCCCTACTCCTTTCACTGCGGGCATTCCGCTGTGTACACCCTGTATGTTGACGCATAGTTTTTCCCCCTGCGGTGTACACCATGTCCAGCGCCTTCTCACTGAGTATACGAGGCACCTCTTTCCCCTGGTACAGAGCTCTTCCCCTGCAGTGTACACCAGGCACATTCTCTCCCCCGCGGTGCAGAGCCTGTCTCTCGCCCGCGGTGCCGAACCTGTCTCTCGCCCGCGGTGCAGAACCTGTCTCTCGCCCGCGGTGCAGAACTTGTCTCTCGTCCGCGGTGTACGTCTTGGACAACTTCCCCTCGCCCCGTACACCTTGCACAACTCCCCCTTTGTCTTCTGTCCCTCTTCCCTATATGGTTCCCTGATCCAGCCCAGCGTGGACTTCGGCCCAGTCCCAACCCGTAGGCCTTCGCAGACTAGAGGTACAAAACAGGTTTAAGGTCCCAGGCCCAGCGCCAGTGCAGCGGGACCCATATAGAACCCCAACGGCCCGGATTTACTAGTGGACCAGTTCAAGTGGCCCAGCTTTTACTAGTGACCCAACACTCTTTCTTTCACTGAAAATAATACAGTGGCGTGCACCATACTGATGCCGACCCGGGGAATCCATACCATCACCGAACCTGAAAAATAATACAGTGGCGTGCACCATACCGCTGCCGAACCAGGGAATCCATACCATCAACGAACCTGAAAAATAATACAGTGGCGTGCACCATACCGCTGCCAAACTAGGGAATCCATGCTATTACCGAGCCTGAAAATAATGCAGTGGGAATCCATGCTATTACCGAGCCTGAAAATAATGCAGTGGCTTGCACCATACCGCTGCCAAACCAGGGAATCCATGC